GTCTTCCTGATCACTCCGAGCACTCTACACCATCACCTCATTGTATAAACTTAGGAACTTTAGTTACCTCAGATTAACATTAACCATCCCACCAGCCAATTTACAACCACATATAAGCCTAACGTGCATGGACATGCATTCTAATCAATTTGCAATAGGAATCCAGGAGTGACAGCCCTCTGTATACCCACTTATTATCTTAACATAAAAATAAAATATTTTTTAAAAAAAAGTTATTGCTTCCATTATATATACTATATGATCACTATATATCATATATACCTTATGAAAGGCTTGATAAAGAGGAAAAGATCATTGCACCTGTATATGTAAAATTTATGTAGAAACATGTACCTGTACATGATGTCATGTCTCTTGTTGCTCTTTGAGTGAGGAATAATAAAAGCCTGGCTCTGCGTGGGCTTTTTAACCAAGCGTGACTAAAATTAACCAGAACAACCCTAACCCAGACAATATTTGCCAGTGTAATTTAGTCTGGACCAAAGTGGGGATGAGTTGAATTATTTGGCTACCACAGAGCACTTGGATTGAAACAGTAGAGCAGAAGACTTATTCAGTAACTTTAATTGCAAAAGGACAAACCAGAAAAATCAAATCACTTGAGGATACGGGCTCTGAAAGCAGATGGTCCTAATGTAATTTTGAAAAAGTTCCTCCAGAGTACTTTCTGTGCTATCAGCTCCTGCTGTGCCGTTTCATGAATATGCAGCTGGCTGGAGAACAGGCTGGAACAGCAGGACCACCCCGACTCCCCATGTCACCGCAGACAGACGGGGATCTGACAGCAGCCAGGAGGAGCGAGCGATTTCAACTGGCAACTGCACGCCGCAGCATACGAAGATCAGGTCACACGCTGTTCCCGTGTGAATGCGTCTGCTTTTAATTGGATAATGTCCCATCCACAAGTGACTATGTCTGAAAATTAGGTTCCAAAGAGCGTCGCAACAATTTCGTCAGTGCTCCGACAGAGTTCTGGGAAGCCAATTTTTATGACTTTTGTGGCCTCAAGTCAAGCCTAGAAAAGGGAGGTATGAGATGGGGGTAAGTCTCCAGTACATGACTAACAACAGCTTCCCCGAGGCCCCCACAATAGTCTCAGGCTCTGTTTGTGATTAAACAGCTACAACTAGCTACACTCATAGCAGTCAGCTCACATCTGTATGTGTGATGTTCCTGGATTTTACTCCCAGGAAAACAGAGGGAGAAGTCCCTCACTGTGCTGTAACATACAACACCACATTCCAGACTATGATATACTTCTTCCTCGTCAGTCAATGCGTCTAAAAGCCCAAAGGCGAAATCATAGTGGCCACTGTAGTAAAGACACCTCACGCTGACAGATAAGCCCATCTTACAAAGTCAGCTTTTCTAAAACAGATGTGAATTTGAAAGACCGGATACGAAGACGTCACAAAGGGTTAAGTTTCTGCAGCATGAAAGGCAACTCGTGTTCTGAAAAACTATTTCTGTCCAGGATGTTACAGTAAAGCCACTCTGCATCTATGCAATTATCCTAAATTTGGATTAGCACTGCATTTCCAAGCACTGTAATTTTATGCTAACTCTGACTTGGCACTATGCTGTTCTCCTTCAGCTTCACGTCGCCTAAAAACACTCTGACCTTTACCCCAGATAGGGGAGGTGAAGCAGCTCTAACTAACTGCATATCTGAAACCAATTTAGATTCACTTAGAGCAGACAGGCAGGTTTAATGGTCGCTGCGTGAGCTGCATTCCAGGTGTGTTCGGAATACGTGGAGCCAATCCCCCCCCCAAAAAAAACAGAGGCAGCATCTAGGAATGTTTGCACTTATGCCATGTGTCTCATCAAAGAACTGGTTGTAAACCTATTACATTGAAATTAACTCACAAAGGCAAATGAATACACAATAGCAATTTACAATAAACGTAAATAAAAGCATCTTTAATTTTGGGGGGTTTGCACTGTCGATCGGATTGATCGGATTTTTGTAGCTGGTGAGGAAACAATTGCTTTTGTGCATTTATCCTGGCTACAAAGCTCTCGTTTGGACCTGTAACGAATCAAGCGCTCCCCTTTCTTTTATACAGCGAAGCTCACAACCTTGTGAAAAAGCCAGTTTAAATGAATGGTGACTGATCAAGATTGCTACCTTCTTTTTCAAGCGACTAGGGTGTGACGCTGTTTTAAGACCTGCTTACTTAACAAGGACATAAAAAAATTTAACTTGCAGTGCCACTTTTTGATGGGACAGCTCTAGTGTGCTGCTCTTCCACACCAACACTGAATTTCCCACGAAGGCGAAGCAGAGGTGTGGCCAGTAACATCGCCGATGGCTTCGTTAAGTCATTATATCACCGAGCAGCAAACCATCATTACTGTCACTAAACACACCCCTGCTTTTCCTGCTAGGACATGTCTCCCATTTTTATTAGTTACAATGAAGCAAAAGCAATTTGTCCAGTATAGCTACATGAGAACATGCACACAGATGAACCAATTTTTTTTATCTAGAAGTCACAAATGTAAAAGTCAAGACAAAGGTTAGTTATGAAGTTCTATGGGATCGCCTGCTAAAATAAATATATACACATTTCCACTGACATGCAGATGAAACATAGTTTTGTTAATCTATGAAGCTGGCACTAAAAACATGTCACAAAGGCCTGGATTATCTGCGATTTTCTATCTCTTAATTTGAATTTGCTGTGTCTGGATAGCAGTACCTTAGCCTCTAGTGCTATCAAGGACACATTTTTTGTTAGTCCTTTGGACTGGCGCGATAAAGCTTTCTGTAATACTGTCAAAACAACAAGCACCATGTTTCAGAGCAATATTGAAAGACAATATTCATATAGCTTCATGATCCTGATCCACAGCTGGCCCAGCTAACCTGCCGAGTGTTTCTCTTCTCCAGTGGCACCCCACTCCATGAATCCTGGAAGCTTCTTCCTGTTAAAAGTGAGTTATTCATCCCCACTGTTGCCAAGTGCTTTCTCAAAGGCAACTGTTTTCTGTATACATGGATGTACCACAGAAAAGGTACAATAATAATAATAATAATAATAATACATTTGGTTTGGGGAGGTCTAATGTTGCAAGTTTTTTGGCGGTGGAGGCATTTTTAAGCAGTAGAAGCTTTTAGATGAACACAGATTTGTAAGATGATGAGGAAACCCCCTGATCAGTTTAGAGGTGGTTAGCTCCTATTCACGTTCACGGTGAGGGGGGCTAAGAGTACATTTCGCACCATCTAACATTGCTGTGATTTAAGTACATGTGGCCACTGACCAATAGTTATGGCACTTTGCATAATAATGATCATGAAACCGATCTTCTGGCTCCTTGTTTGGCTGTGGTGCTCGTTTCAATTATTATCCAACTTTATTGTTAATGCAGGTGAGGCTGAAGAAGAAACTTGGTTACGAAAAACTTTCTGGGATTTTCTACCTGGATGATTAAAAGTTCCTCAAGCTTTTAGTGTTGCATTTTCAGAGTATGACTATCAAATCAAAAGCAATGCGAGTGCGAGATCCTACTGTAAATGCAAACATCACATTTTTTGCGTTTAATGTAAATACACTAAGCAGCACAGAATGTTACTTTATTCTTTTGCAACTGCATGTTGAGACCATCTTGCAGCACTATCGCATCATTTCCGAAGAACCACACCCTTGATTTTGATTTCAACCACACACCTGTAACGGTTTGTGACTGTATCTTACACAATCACACCCACCGCACTGACACGTTATCCTACTGACAGAAAAGCATATCAGTCACGCTATCATCACCGATAACCTTGACTTTAACAGTGTAACACTACACTGACAGTAAGGTCACAAGTTACTTATGGACATGTCACACACCCAAACTTTCTGGGATCGCCATTAAACGTGAATCCACCTCACAATATGGGCTATACCTACATTTTTTAGGCCCCTGAAACAGCTGAGCACGTGTGAAAGAAGCCTTTGTATGTGGCAGAGGGAAGCAGATCCCACCGAAGGGACAACCCCACTGCCAGCCAGCTGCGTCTGCTCCCAGCCCTCCTCCCTGTAGCTGAGGAAACACTGCGCTAAACACTCTGCTAATGGAAGTTTTCCTCCTGTTCCTCAATTTAGATCTGAGCTTCATGGGAAAATAAAGACATCGGGATGGAGTACAACAGGGTGAAATGACAATGGGCTGGAGGCCACGCTTTAGTATCGGAATGACAAGGACCAACAAGTCGCACAAAAAAATCCTTTATAGCTGGGCTAAGAATGTCTCAATAGCCTGCTTTCATGCACTTCACTGATATGTGTATTGGATTACAAGTATGCCACAACCCATTAACACAGCGGGTTATGAATGGGTTTTATTATGAAGGCATGGGCAAACCCATATGGCAACAGAAAAGGACCAGCTGGTCTGCTGCACACTTTAAACTAGAGCCCATACATCAGATACACTTTTGTCTCCACACAACAGATCTTCACAAACACACAACCCTTTATGGGACTATACATCATATGAGATTTTACATTTAGAAAGACTTATAAATTAATATCTAATCAAACTTCTTTTGTTACTGATAAAAGAAAAAAAAACCTCATATTTAAATACTTGAGTCATTTGCAGATGGATGGAGATGAACTGATAAAAGTGATGAAATATTTGCTTTGCTTGAAAGGTGTCAGGTTGGGACGTCTGTGTAAACTATTCATGGGGCGCTTAATTTCTAATGTTTAATGTTTTAGCTTTAGTTTTATTCTTAGCGCAGCGGCAGGCAGACAGAGCGGGGATGCAGGAGAATGAGCGCTCCGATGGCAGGGTGTGGAAGCAAGTTTAAGCAGAGCAGAGGGGGAAATATTGTGTATTTATGGGATTTATACTCACCTGGCTTCAGACTGCTGTTAAAGTAGAATATGACCATGACGAAACATCCCAGGGACAAGGCAAAAACCATCCGGATCACTCTGGGTTTCCTCATCCTGAGAGTCTCTGGAAGCCACCGAGGAGCCGAGCCCAATCCTGCCAGGGTTCAGGCGAACTACACGGTTTTTGTCGAGTCTACTTCACCGGCCGTGGGAGCATCGATCCGGCTCGCTGCTCGACCTTTGCCGCTTCTTATCTTCCTGGACATCCTCGCATGCCGGGTCAGGAGGAGGCAGCGGTGAGGGAGGGTGAGGGAGGACGAGGGGGGCCCCGGGCGGCAGACTCCGCTGGTCTGCCGTGTCTCTCTCGGTTACCGACGCGTTTCTGTGTGCCTTTGTAGAGACGACGGAGAAGGCTGCATCACTGCCGCTGTAGTGCCAGCACAGGCCCCCGGACTGCGTGGGTAACGGGCCCTTTATACGCCAAGACAGGGTCTTTCCAAATGTCCGCTTAACCCCTTTCTCCCCACGGACACAGAAAGGGTCCAACCACTCAACGACCCGGTGGTCGAGAAATAAGCGACACGTTTCAGAAGAAGGGCGGGTTCCGGGGAGACCTTTCAAAGTAAAACTTCTACACAGACAGTATGAAATCTGCTGTGGGGTTGGGACTAAACCGGTTTACAATTCATTAATGTGAAATTAATTTAAAAAAAAAATTAATATCACTGGTGGAAACGCTTCTAGAGGCATTTCAGAATAAGAGTCTTGCACCTTTAGATTTTAAAAGCTTGCTGAATTTCAGTCTTTAAAAATTCTGTAAAATTTTCGTAGAAATAGAACAAAATTTAATACCAGAAATATTAAAGACATGACTGGTTTCAGACATGGTTTTTATGATGCTGGGACAAGACTAAATTTTAAGACTAGCAAAGCAACACCCAGAGAAAGCCTTCATATAGCCTGAATTGTTAGATGTGTTGGAAAAGTGTGGTTCTTTTTCCAATTCAGAGTGGGGGACTGGTCTATAAAAATCAGTTCCCACCCCCATTTCCAGAGGATCAAAAGTAGCTGGAAAAAACAACATTTAGAATAGGAGATGATATGGACTGTTTTAAATGAGAAAATGCAAAACCTGCCTGTCTAGAAACCATGAGCATCACAAAATGCTGGCTCTCCTCTTGCGGAGCTCTGTTGGGCCTTTACTACAGCCACCTTTAGTTGCTGCTTGTCTGTGGGTCTTTCTGCCTTCAGTTTTGTATGTAATAACTGCAAAACAATGCTCTGTTGTTTTGAGATTGGGTGACTGAAATTTCCTCTACCATGTTTAACAGATCATACAGGATGCTCCAGATCACCATCGGCCCCTTTTCTTCTCCAAGCTTTTCTCTTCCACTCATTTTGCAGCAAGTCAATTTTGTACCACTGAACTTGTTTAGATATTTTTTCTTTATTTGTTATGTTTTTATTTTTTGGCAACATCTAAAAATGCTTGCACAGTGATACTGTTCTTGAGTGGTTTGTAGACTTAATTATAGATGTTGACACTAAGATGCCAGCCTCTTTGAGAGCGTTCCTGACTTAGCTAAATGTTCTGTATTTTCCTTAACAATGGAAATAATTCTATCATCATCCACTTCAGGTTTCTGTGGTCTTGCTATACTGACAAGTTCATTCCTTCTTTTTAAGAAGGTTATATAGCACTTTTCTACTCTATCTGAGAACTCAAAGCACTTTACACAACTTGCCTCATTCACCCATCCATACAAGCACTTTTTGCTATGGTCTTTCCGTCAAAGTGTTTTCTATCTACCATTCACAACATGCCTGTCTTTGACATGTAGACTGGAGCAGCCAGGGACTGGACCACCAATCTTCCGATTAGCAGATGATCTGCTCTACCAGCTATTTACGCCTAAATTTCTATTCCTAAAATTTCCTGAAGTTTTTGTGATCTGCCTGATTGGTTTGTTTTGGTGTTTCAGCCTAGTGATGTCCTCCTTCACAGACACCATATCCATACTTCCAGTGTACAGCCACCAGAGGCAAGTTCAACACTTTGAACCAATTTTAGATCTTTTATCTGTTTATTTTGCCATGAACAACAAGTAAGGAGGCTTCAGCTGATGCTTGTCAGTCAGTTGTCCAATTACCTTTGAGCATCTGAAAATGGGAGATTATGTATAAAATGCCTGTAATTCTTAAATAGTTAATGAAATGCATTTGTTAAACCCCTTGAATTAAAACTGAATTTGATTGTTTAAAATTCCCTGTGGTGGTGTACAGAGGCAAAATTGCAAAGATTGTCCATATATACTGACCTCACAGTACCTTAACAGGGGATAACCAGTCTTTTGCTTTAATAACAGAGATGATACCTTTAACCTTTGGGCCACTGAGCTGCTATCATACAAAACTGTGATGTTAAAAACTCTTCTTGTGTAAGTTATATGTGAATGGGAGAATTTTTTTTTACCACCAACATTCTCCAGCTGATCGGTCTTGTAAAAGCACATCAGTGTAAATCTGTTACTGGATCCATAAATTATCTTTTTTTTTTTTTTAAATAATGATAATAATGAGAAAGGCTTAAATATCAGTCCCTCCTGTCACAGAGGTCCCCACATTATAAACTAATTGCACCAAATAAACATTTGAAAACTCAGACATCAAATAAATGCCTCAAAATGACTCCTCGAAGGTTGAATCATTATAATAAGAATACATCAGGCATAAGCACTGAGTGCACACAGCTTAAAGGAACAGTTTCACTGTGCATGGCAGAGATCAGTGACAAACCCCAAAACAGGGATGGTTTTACAGACGAGGTCCTCTGAAGTTTTCCCCTCCTCAGCTTTTCTGTGTTTTCACTATTTTGTTTTTTCTTAGGGTCAGTGTCATTGCTGGTAGCGTGAGGTGATACCTGGACCCTACAGAGGTTGTGCAGGTAGTCCAGCTCCTCCAGGCTGGCACATCAATGTGACATCATCATCAGGTTTGCTGTGTCTCCCAGCACAGTGTCAAGAGCATGGAGGAGATTTCAGGAGACAGGAGCAGAACCAGTATCTGCACCTTTGCGCAAGGAAGAACGTAATGAGCACAGCCAGAGCTACAAAATAACCTCCAACAGGACACTGGTGTGACTGTCGCTGACCAAACAATCAGAAACAGACTTCATGAGGGTGACTGAGGGCCCAACGTCTTCTAGTGGGCTCTGTGCTCACTACGTGGCACTATGGAGCCTGGCATTTGCCACCCTGTGTGTTTTGAAGATGGTTCACTCTGAGCACAGGGGACAAACATAAAAGAGTCTGCAGAAACTGTGGAGAACGACATGCTGCCTGTTCAGCGTGACTGGTTTGGTGGTGGGTCACCGATGGTCTGGGGAGGCATATCCACTGAGGGACACACAGACCTCTATAGGCCAGGC